CTCAGGAGGTAGAGGCAGGATTGGAGTTCAATGTTAGCCTTAGTTACATAGTGAATTTGAAGCCAGCATGGGCTCCATGGACTTTATTACAATAAAATCAAGCAAAAAGTAAGGCGAAGGAAGGACAGGAAGGCAGAGGAAGTGGCTGGAAGTAGTGGAAGAGATGGAAGGAAAAAGGAGGAAGAGATGGAGAGAGAGAGAGAGAGAGAGAGAGAGAGAGAGAGAGAGAGAGAGAGAGAGAATACATTCATGCACCTGTAATCTCAATTCTTGGGAAGCTAAGGCAGAATGATTCACTGGTTTCCAGCTAGCCTGGGCTACATAGTGAGTTACAGGTCAGCCTGGATTAGAGTGAGACTCAGGGGTTTAAAAGAAAAAAAAAGTTGAGACTCCATGTGATAGAAGAGTTAGAGCCAAATCTTAGGAAACCCAGTACTCCAAAACCATCTCCCATACTAACTGTCTAGCACTTTGGTTGACAGTAGTTTTACACACACACACACACACACACACACAGAGGGGGGAGAGAGAGAGGCATGCAGGCATGCACAGTGGACAGAACAAATTATAACATCACCTAATGATTTATTTTTTCTTTACTACATCCCCCCATCTGCTGTTTTCGTTCCCTATGGGTCTGTCACTTCTCAATGTTTCTCCTCAGTTGTCTGAGCACATGTGACAGTTCTGCCCAGCCGCTCCCGCATCCCCCTGGAAGGTCAACCCTAGACCCCCAGGAAACTGTGCGCTTGCTTTATTCGAGGTTCCAGCCTTGATGCTCCTGACAGCTCGGGGAGGATGATCAGGATCCTCAGGCATGGATCCAAGGGTTGTTTCCAGGAGTCCCTGTCCCACGCACTAGGCACAACCTTTGTGCTGAGTCTGTGGAAGGAAGCTCCTGGGCAGCTGGTCTCTCTGGGGTTTGTCAAGATGCCATTCGAGAAGAGGGGAACCACCCAGAGCCTGCCTCTGCCTGCAGCCCCGGCTCTGAGCTGCTTATCCTGCCTTGTGGTGGAGCTCTGTTCTCCCGGCTCCCTGCCAGACTGTCTCTACACCCCCCGGAACTTCTCCTGCCCACTCTGGTCTGTTCCTGACCTGCCTGGACCGTTGCCATGGAGACAGCTAAAAGACCTGCCCTTCTGACCCACCTCCCCAGTTACATTTCTCTTCTTATCACCCCCACATCGAATATGTTTTTTTCCCCAAACTGTGAACAGCAGTGACACTTTTGTATATGAAATCGTGCGCATGCACGTGCGTGTGCGCGTGTGTGAAAGAGTTCGGGAATGTTTGGAGAATTGAGAACCAAATAGCTGTAAGCCAGTAGTTCCCAACTATACTGTGTCCCCATTACCAAGACAACTTTCCTTTGTAGGTTTGTTTGTTTGTCTCCGTATGTGTCTTTGGTTGGCCTGAAACTTAACTCTATAGCTCAGGTTGGCCTCAAACTTCAGATAATCCTCCTGCCTCCGCCTCCAGAGTGCTGGGGTTACAGGCATGTGTCACCATACCAGGCTCTTTTTTTTTTCTTCCCCAGTACCAGGAGGCATCTCAGGTTGTCACACAGGGGCATCACCTGCATGCCTGTCAGCTGTTCTACAGGTTCATAGGACAAGACTGTATGATGACTCCCCACTTCACTATGTGTTCCTGCGCCCGTGTTGAGAACAGGGCTTAGCTCGTGGCTTGGCTCTGAACTAATTTTCATATTCTCATTCCCTCTCTCTCTTTCTCCCTCCCCCTTCCCTCCTCACATCTGCTTCCTCTACTGCCTTGCTGCCCCACATCATTTCTTCCCTACGCCTCTTTCTGCCCTCCCTTCTCTTTCCTTCCCTCTCTTCTTTCTTTCCCTCCTTCCTGGACTCCGCGGGCCCCCGGCTGCCGCTCACCACCCCCTCCCACACATCTTCCTCAACTCCCCCTCCGCCTTCTGCCTCACACCTTCCTTCTCTGTCAAGTGCTCCCTTCGTTATAACTTCTGCAAGCCCCTCCTCCATCCCCGCCGACCTTTCTTTTCTCCCGTTTCACTCCCCTCTCGTTGCTCCCTTTGCCCTCCCCTTCCACCCCTGCAGTTCAGCTCCGGGATCCGCAGCCTGGCGTCCCGGTGCGCACCATGCGGGCCCTGCTACTGCTCGGGAGCATCACGCTGCTGGCCTCCGCCGCGGGTCCAGCCAGGGCGCGCCCATCCAACGATACGAGCGCAGTGGCCCCGGGCCCGCTGCCTGCGCTCCTCGCACACCTGCGGCGCCTAACCGGGGCTCTGTCGAGCGGCGGGAGCCCGGCGGGCACCGGCGCTAATGCCACCAAGACCAGCCCCGCGGGTGGCGCGGGTGCAGCGGCACGGGCGCCCCCTCCGGCCGAGCTCTGCCACGGCTACTACGATGTAATGGGCCAGTACGACGCCACCTTCAACTGCAGCACCGGCTCCTACCGCTTCTGCTGCGGCACCTGCCACTACCGCTTTTGCTGCGAGCACCGCCACATGCGCCTGGCGCAGGCCTCTTGCTCCAACTATGACACGCCACGCTGGGCCACCACGCCTCCGCCTCTAGCCGGAGGCGCCGGGGGCGCTGGGGGTGCGGGCGGGGGCCCGGGACCGGGCCAGGCAGGGTGGCTGGAAGGGGGTCGGGCCGGGGGCGCTGGGGGTCGTGGGGGCGAGGGCCCCGGGGGCAGCACAGCCTACGTAGTGTGCGGAGTCATCAGCTTCGCCCTGGCGGTGGGCGTCGGTGCCAAAGTGGCCTTCAGCAAGGCGTCGCGTGCGCCCAGAGCGCACCGGGAGATCAACGTGCCCAGGTAGGTATGCGGAGGGGCTGGAGGGACAGGAGGGAGCACGCAGCCCTGGCACTGGAAGGCTAAGCAATCTGATGGAGGCGGTGCCTTAATGCTGGGAGGTGAAGTTGGGCTTTGAGAGGCCCTGCAACGTGACTGGGGGTGTGGCCTGGGCGATAGAGGTGGCTCCTGGGAGCGGGGCCTACGCTGTGAGAGGTGGAAGCTTTAAGGTGTGGCTACACCGATGGTTGGGGTCCAAGTTAGTGGTGGGAAATAACTGGGGCCTGGCTATAGAGAAGAATTGGGATGGGGGAGTTCATTCATTCAACCAATATTTCTTTAAAAAAAAAACTTTCTTTCTGTGGGGCAGTAGCTGGGGATACAGAATGGGACAAAAGCCCTGCCCTCCTGAATAAACCTGTGTCCCAAGCCCAAGCATTCTGCTTGTGATCTATGTGATGTGGGGTCTCTGTGCCTAGGGTTCCTCGCATAGACAGTAGGGCTAAGAACAGACCTCCGTTTGTTCGGATTCTAAAGAATAACTGAGCTGATTCATATAGAGTCCTAGCTGAGTAAGTGTTCATAAAATGTTTGTGGTAGACCCAGAAAGCCTATATGCCACGTAACTCTAAACGTTGACAACCGCTATGGGGGGAAAAGGCAATGTACAATGTAAAGAGTTAAGAGAAGGAGTGTTGGTTTCAGGAAGTGTGGCTGAGAAAGGTGGACCTTAGAAGGCTTAGCCAGATGGTGGTGGCTCACACCTTTAATCCAAGCACTCAGGAGGCAGAGGCAGGCAGGTCTCTGTGAGTTCGAGGCCAGCCTGGTCTACAAGAGTTAGTTCCAGGACAGGCTCCATAGCTGCAGAGAAAACTTGTCTCGAAAAACCAAAAAAAAAAAAAAAGTGCCTAGTCAAAGATGGACCACATCTCTGCCCTGCAGACTCCCTACAGAAGAGAATAGGGAGGGGGAAAGAAGCCTGGGCCTCTCCATTTCCCTCCCACCCCAGTCCCCGACTACCTATCCATCCATCCACCATTTTCAGAGCTCTGGTGGACATTCTGAGGCATCAAGCAGGACCTACAACCCGCCCAGACCGGGCCCGAAGCAGCTCTCTGACCCCAGGGCTAGGAGGCCCAGAAAGCATGCCTCCCAGGACACCCAAGAACCTTTACAACACCATGAAGCCCTCCAACCTCGGTGAGTGCAAGTGACAGATGCAATCTCATCTCTGGTCACGCCCTCAACCCTGTGGTTCTGCCCTTCTTCCCCATGTGCTGCCCCTCTCCCGCTTGGTTCCTTGGCCCCACTCTGGTCTCCATCCATCAGCCTTGACCCTCTCGTTTCTCCCTTCACTGCCCATTCTACTCATCCTGAGAGAAATCCCAGGGGCCATAGTGGACAAGAAAATGTCCAGTCTTGTTTGAAGCAGGAAAATGGGGGAGGGCGGTGCGAGGGTGGTAGGGCGGGCTTTTCCCAGAGCGAAGAGTAACTGTAGCTGCAGGAACTCCCAGGTGGCTGGAGCAGAACCTATGGGGCTCTCAGGCCTGAGACCGCAGACATCATGGCTTCTTTGGTGTCAGGCTGAGCTCAGGTACCCTGCTCTGAGATCAGTGGGGAACCACTGAGGTGTTTCAAGCAGGAAGCAAAGAAGTCAGTTGTAATCTCAGAACTCTCAGTGAGGGCTGAGACGGAAGGATCAGGAGGTGGAGAGCAGCCTGGATTAAATAGCAGGAACCTATCCCAGAAAACCAAGGGGTAGGAATGCAGCTCAGGGGTAGAATGGACCAGTGAGGAGCTGGAAGTGGGACCCATGGGTAAACCACTTGCCTAGCACCCAGAAGGAAGGGATTTGGAGATGTAGTTCAGTGATAGAGTGTTTACTTAGCACGCAATCTGGCTCCCATCTCCAGCCTGGAAAAACATAAAATGAAAGTCAGGTTTGGTGGCTCATGCTTTTGATCTCAGCACTCAAGTGTCAGAAGAAGGTGAAGCTCTGTGAGGTCAAGACCAGTCAGGGTTACACAGTGAAACCTTAAAAAAAAAAGAAAGATGATACCAGGTGGTGGTGGCACACACCTTTAATGTTAGTGCTTGGGAGGCGGAGGCAGGCAGATCTCTGTGAGGTCGAGGCCAGAGTAGTCTACAGAGTGAGTTCCAGGACAGGCTCTGAAATTACAGAGAAACCTTGTCTTAAAAAGAGGAAAAGAAAAAAAGAAATAAAGAAAAAGAAAAGAAAGATGAGGTAAAAGAACTATGTTCTGGAATCTGCAACCTATGTTAAGGGAAGAGATGAGATGAACGAGGCTCTGGGGGCTGGGGTTACAGCCCATGCAGTGATAGAAGAGGGTCTGCTCCCGGTCAGGGGTGCGGGGAGGAGATAGGTTGTTCGAGACAGGGTTTCTCTGGGTAGCCTTGGCTGTCCTGGAACTAACTCACTCTGTAGACCAAGCTGGCCTCAAACTCACAGAGATTTGCCTGCCTCTACCTCTGGAGTGCTGGAATTAAATGGGATTAAAGGTGTGTGCTACCACCACCCGGCTGAATTTGAACTTCTGATCCTCCTTCCTACATCTTTCAAATGTTAGGATTACAGGATTACAGCATCAGGTTTAATTTTTTTTTCCTAATATAAGGTATCACACTGTACCGCAGGCTGCCGGGAGATTCTGTAGCCTGGGCCGACCCTGAATTCATGGCAGTTCTTCCGTCTCAGCCTCCTATGTACTGGAGCTGCAGTCATGAGCCACTTTGTGAAGGCTCGAGCTAGATCTTGAGGGAGGTTTCATTCTTCAGGCAAGGAGGGGAGGGAAGAGATTCGAGGCCTTGAGACCAGTATTACAGAATGTGCAACAGCCCTGTGGCAAGCCTCGGGCTCAGCCCACATGGTCCACTTTTCCTGTTGGGGATGGTGAACCACAGAAGGCATCTGAGTGCCCGAGGGACAGCCGCTACGGGGCTTCCCACCTCAAACTGGCACATCTGATGATTCAAAGAGAGGGTGTCTGTCAAGGTACAGATGTGGAGTCAGGAGCGGCCACCAGGTCTGAGTGGTGAGAGACCAAGAGGTGATACAAAGACCAACAGAGTTCTGGCCTGGGTATCGGGGTGAATAAGAGGGACATCTCATCCTCAGCCATAATCCTGAGCCCCCATTCTCTGTTTCCTCGATTGGACCAATAGAATAAGTCAGCCTGTGGGGCTCTAATGAGGGGGTGGGAGCGGCTCGGAACTGGGAGCCAGAAGTGACACACTTCCGGGCAAGTGTAAATTGGGGTGGCGATGACAGTGACGTCACCTCCCTTCTCGGTCCCTCAGATAACCTGCACTACAACGTCAACAGTCCCAAGCACCGCGCTGCCACACTGGGTACGCAGAGGGCCGAGGCGCCCTGGGAGTCGGGGTCCTTCAGGCCCTCACTGTGGGCAGCCCCAGCCTGGTGCTGGGTGGAGCCCCAGTAAGACCCCCGTGAGCCGATGCTCACGTGGGGCTGGCCACCAAGGCAGCTGCAGTGTCCTCGAGAGGACACCGGAAGTGGTGATCTCCTTCCCGTCAAGTTTTGGGAAGATGCGTGGAATGCATCCCCAGCTGGGGCCAGGATTCAGTGGGTGCTGACAAATGCCAGTGGTCCCCAACCTGGAATGTGATTTCATCCTCAACCACAACCCTGTCCACTGTGGTGGGAAACGAGGGGCTCCTAAAGGTTGGAGCTCTCGCAGGCTAGAACCCCAGATCTCTCACCTCCCAAGCCCCAGACCTCTGAAGGAGGAAGGCTGGAGCCTGAAATCTCGGGTCAGAGGGAGAATGGTTAGAGCATGGACCCCTGGGTCTGAGAAAGGCGGGCTGGGGTCTGAAATCCTACGTCTAAGGGAGAAGGGTTGGACTCCTTCCTCAGACTCTTGAGTCTGCGCGGGGCGGGAGTGGCGGGATCTCCTGGATCTAAAGGAGGAGGGTAAAGAGCTACTGGACCCTGGGTCTCAGGGAGGAGGGGTAAGACCTGGATTCCTATATCAGAGGGAGGGGTGGACTCTGGCCTTTCGGCTTGAGGGAGGAGGACTGGGGTCTGGACTCCCGGGCCTGGGGGAGGAGGGTTGGTCTCTGGACTCTTGGGTCTGAGGGAGGGTTTGGCTTTGGGAACCTGGGTCTGAGGGAAGAGGGCTGGGCGCTGGGGTCCCTGGGTCTGAGGGAAGGAGGGCGAGGCTCTGGAACCTGGCTCTGAGGAAGAAGGGCTGCACTAACCTGGTCTTCCCCCGCCACAGACTGGCGAGCCATGCCACCACCCAGCCCCTCCCTGCACTACTCCACGCTGTCCTGCTCTCGATCCTTCCACAACCTCTCGCATCTTCCCCCATCCTATGAGGCTGCTGTGAAATCAGAACTGAATCGCTACTCCTCTCTCAAGAGATTGGGTGAGTTTGGGGAAGGGGAACTTAGCCTATGGCGGGGGTGGGGTGGGAAGGTGTGTTGAGTTCCAAGGACAGCAGTGGAGTGGTGGGGAGCTCAAAAGGTTCCAACCTTCCTACCGAGTTTTTTCCTAGTTTTACCTGAAATATATTGGGTTGGGTTTTTGTTTATTTGTATTTCATTTTATTGTTCTGAGACTGAGTCTTCGCCTTGTAACCCACTTTGTCCTGGAACACACTGTGTAGCACAGGCTGACCTCAAACCCAGCTTCCCTAGAGTTGGGATTGCAGGTATGAACCACCATGCCCTGCTTAGCTTGCTGACTCTTGTTGCTCAGACATTAAGGCCTCCTGGGTGCCGTGACTGGAGAGATGGCTCAGAGGTTAAGAGCATTGGCTGCTCTTCCAAAGGTCCTGAGTTCAATTTTCAGCAACCATCACAGCCATCTCTAATGAGATCTGGTGCCCTCTTCTGGCCTGCAGGCATACATGCAGGAAGAACCTCCTGGGTGGAGTGCAATACTGTTGAGGGAGGATGCTCTGGGTTGTCATGGGATCTGTCTTTTCTTCTCCTCCAGCTGAGAAAGATCTAGACGAAGCCTACCTGAAGCGCAGACATCTAGAGATGCCCCGTGGAACCCTGCCTTTGCATGCACTGCGGCGGCCTGGTACTGGAGGTGGCTACCGCATGGATGGCTGGGGTGGTCCCGAGGAGCTGGGCCTGGCACCGGCACCAAACCCCCGGAGGGTTATGTCCCAGGAGCATCTGCTGGGTGATGGCCGAGCTTCCCGCTATGAGTTCACATTGCCTCGAGCGCGGCTGGTGTCTCAAGAACACCTGCTGCTGTCCTCACCGGAGGCCCTCCGCCAGAGTCGAGAGCACCTGCTATCACCACCACGAAGTCCTGCACTGCCTCCAGACCCCACCACCCGGGCCAGCCTGGCTGCCTCACACTCCAACCTGCTGCTGGGGCCTGGGGGGCCCCCCACACCACTGCATGGGTTGCCTCCATCAGGCCTGCATGCCCACCATCACCACGCCCTTCACGGCTCTCCTCAGCCAGCCTGGATGTCCGATGCAGGTGGGGGTGGGGGCACACTGGCCCGCCGGCCACCCTTCCAGCGCCAGGGAACCCTGGAGCAGCTTCAGTTCATTCCTGGACACCACCTGCCACAGCACCTGCGCACTGCCAGCAAGAATGAAGTGACTGTCTGAGGCCAGGGTAGAGCGCTGGGGGCTGCGGCTTCTGAGGCCCCCTCCTCCCAGCCCAGATCTCCATCACAGGCTTATCATACACACCAAGGGTCTGAGACCAGATGGGCCCTTGGATCGGAGACCACGCCTCCTTTTGGGATGTCACAGTAGATGAGATCTCTCCTCCTACTTTGTCACTGTTTGAACCAAGGCCTCCTTCCCATGATGTCATCGCAGAGGAAGAGGCCTGTACATGAGGTCATCGCTAGCAAATATGTCTGTGTTCTATGATGTCATTGCAGGAACTAAACCTTCCTATGAGGTCACCACAGAGGAAGAGGCCTGCCCGTGAGGTCATCACTAGAGGCTGTCCATTTTGCATGACATCACCAGAGACTCATTCCCTGTGATGTCACCACAGACAATGCCTTGTCCCATCCCATCATCCCTAGAAACAAAGATTTCTTCTGTGATGTCACTGCAGAGACAAGTCTCCCGCTTCTTGAGACTTCTTGATATCATCCTGAGCACCAAGGCCTCTTGAAACTGTCCAGATTTTTCTCTGCTGTGGAGAAGATGCCTCTGCCCCACAATGCCATGACTACAGACTAAGCCATTTTCCTGGGACACACTGCAGGGGACCGTGCCCTGCCATGTGTCCTCACTAAAGATTAGGCCTCCTTCCCACAGTGCTGTCACAAGATTTTGCCTCCCTCCTGTGATGCCATCACCAGAATAGGTGCCTTGCCAGATGGCGCCATCACAGGGACCGTGCCTCTTCAAGCAATGTCATTACCAGTAATGACCACCTGTCCCAGGGACCTCTCCAGGAGGAGGCCCTGCTGTGGTGTGACCACCAGTTACCACCTGCTTGGAAATGACACCAGGGGACACCTCTGTTGTTGTGCGGGGTTGTGATAAAGTTGGGCGTGTCCAGCCCAAGACCATTTTGGGAAGATGCCAGAGAAAGCAGCTTTTCCTGAGATGTCTTATGAGGGTGTCGGCACTGGGGATGCCAAGACAATGACCTGTGTGTAAGAGGCTGGCGATGATGCCCTCCATCGCCTGGACATCATCATAAAGGATTTCCTTCTGAGGCAGTCCCCACTCTCAATGGCCACCAGTAGTGATTATCGTCAGAGTCCTTGTCTTGCTTCCCTATAACTTAGCTCCATGGCTTCTTCCCATGACCCCAGGGACATGGCCAACAGAATGTCTACCAGCGCCTCTAAAGGGCGGTTGGGCCTGTGCAGTGAGTCCTTGGGGATGGCACCCATGGATGAGCTTCAGCTCCAAGGAGGCCACTTTGATCCATGAGGCTTCTAAATCCTGGGACTCATAGGTGGGCCAAAGGCTGGAATTACTTCTTTCTGCCATATCTAAAGACATCAGCAACAGAGCCCCCATCTCCTATCGGAGGGAGAAGGTTGGAGTGTATGTGCCGCTGACCTTGCCAATGGCATCATCAATGCTACCCAGTGTACTCCTTTCATGATGGCATAGCAGTTGGGGTCCAGTATTAATCATGTCATTTCCCAGGATTCCATAAGACTCACCTCAACTAGCACATCATCATCTACCAGGAATTGTCACCACTAATGATGTCACCACTGTCTCCCAACATTTCTCCCAACCATGGTGTCACCACCTCCCAGGATCCACATAACATGCCATCATCACCATCTCCACAGTATGTTCTCATCACCTCCCAGAATCCATCACAATATGCTCACCTCATCATCTCCCAGGAGCCATCAGAACCGTGCTGTCCCCATCATCTCCCAGCATTCACTATACCCATACGGTCCCCATCATCTCCCAGCATTCACTACACCCATACGGTCCCCATCATCTCCCAGCATTCACTACACCCATACGGTCCCCATCATCTCCCAGCAGCCATCAGAACCGTGCCATAGGTCCCCATCATCCCCCAGCATTCACTACAGTCATAGGTCCTCATCATCTCCCAGGAGCCATCAGAACCGTGCTGTCCCCATCATCTCCCAGCATTCACTACAGCCATAGGTCCCCATCATCTCCCAGGAGCCATCAGACCCATGCTGTCCTCATCTCTCGGGAGCCACTACAACCATGATGTTCTTGTCTCCCTAGTTGTGCCATGACCAATGATGTCCTTATCTTCAAAAATCCATTATGTCTCGTGGTGGCACTCTCCAAGAGGACTTGTTAGGACGGAGAGTGCCGATGTTTCTCATCATCACAGTGTTGCCATCTCCCACGATCTACTTCCACCACGTCTCATGTCTCAGCCACCAGAGCTATGATGTCACCACTTCATAAGATCCACTGCAACTGTGGTGTCCTTGGATTCATGCAGCCATGCATCGCCACATCCCGGATCCATCTGAGTGTCACAGTCATAATCCACAGGAATCCACGAGAGCCATGGTGTCACCACCTCCAGGCCCCACTCCAATAGTGTCCTGTCATGACTCCTCAGAAGTCACTGTAACCATGGTGCATCACCTCCAATCAGCCATAATAGCCAATGGTGTCTTCATCTCCCAGGACCCACTCGAACCCCAGTGTCTCTGTGACCTGGGGTCCCTGAGACCCAGTGATATCATTATCCTTGGGGCCTCCCATAACCATGGTGTCATCACCTCCTGGATCCATGACAACAAATAATGCCATCATTTTCAGAGTTTTCTTCAGTCATGATGTCACTGCCTCCCAGAATCCAAGTTAAAACTGTGTCCTCATCTTCCAGGACCCATGGCGCTTGTGTGCCATCTGCCAGGATCCACCATCTTAGGGTCCTCTGGGGTCTCATGGCATTTACAGTTCCTCCCTTCAGGGGAACCAGCACAACAGGCCATTTCCCATTCCCTCCGCAGGACTAGGGTGGAGCCAGCTGTCTCCCTCGGATAGTGTCCCCCTCCCCCACTCTGGCCCTTCTTGATTATGTCACTGCCTCGCTCCTGATCTGAATACATACCCGGGTCCAGATGTGGCCTTGGCCAGCCTCCTTCACCCACTGGTGAGTGCATCCAGACTCTTCCTTGTGTCACCACTGTCCCTCACCAGCCATCAGATCGGTGACAGGGTCAACCCAGTGACTTCCCAGCCCTTGGGCGGCATCACTGCCCTACCCAACTCAAACCCTGTTAATTGGACCCCACCACCAGATCAGAACTCACTAGCTCGGGCCAAACTCTCTTTAGAATCTTGGCCTGTGGGAAGATGCCACAGCTGGCAAACCACCAGTTTGGCCAGTTCCCGGGGTGGGGATACCTGAGAACATTGGCCACTGCTACCTTCACCTGCAAAGGCCTAGAAGGGTGCTCCTTCACCCCTTCCCGTAACACACCAGGAAGTCCCTAACACAGTGCACAATTTGACCCTCCACACAGTTCTCTGTACATATAGCCATGTTTCAGGGGGGCGGCCATTCCCCACTCTTAAAGGGCTACATGTCCCCCTCCCAGCCCCCAAGGCGAGGAGGGGGCTCTTCTCCCTCCTCTAGGCCGCCCTCTCCCTCTTATACCCTCTTACCCCACCAAATATTGGCCTCTGTGCTCATCCCTTCTCGCCAAGAGCCTGGATGGGATAGATGGTGCCAGGGTCTCACCATCCAGGAAGGTAGGATGTCAGCACCAATCCTCCTAAACTCCAGCGCCAGGTTTTCAGTCTCCCGGCTAATAGAAGTTCCGTGGGCTCCCCTTCCATTCTAGGGCCTCCTTCAAGCTCGCTTAACACTCCCACGGATCACACAGCTTTCTTCAGCCCCCAGGGAGCTTTCGGCTTTTGTTTGCCCCCTTCTTTCAGTCTCTCCCTCCCTTCTTCCTAACTTGGATTCCTTCCTGGGATCTGCCCTCCCCGCCCCCCAGCCTCTAACCCTCCATTCACCCGCCTGACCCAGGAGCCTTGACCTCTTATCTCAATAAAGCCATAGTGGGGAGAGGTCTCACCCCCCACCCCTCTAGCACCACGATGCTTCCAGAGCTGGGACCTGGCCTTCTGAGTCTTCCCCACTGTTCCCCAGTAAACACACAAACACACATGAACGGGGTGTGCACTGCTGTGCAGGGAAGCAGCTCCCCTTCTGGCTGGGGCTTGCAGAGGGGGTGTCAGATTGAAGTGCTCCACCGGAGGACCCTCCACACCTCTGAATCCCAGCCTCTCCCCTCCCCTACTCTTCCTTCCTGTGCTGAACCCACCCACCTTCACTTCCTGGCGAGGACAGCGAGAAGAGCTGGCGCTCAGTGGGGGGTGGATTTTGTTTTGGAATAAACAGCTGTTTTTCCTGATCTCCAGTCTCCAGGTTTTCACTGGGAAATTGGGGACCTCCTCCCCCTTTGTAGTGGATATAGGCTTGGCCAAAGGCAAAATGATTTTTGTCAGGGGAGAAACTTCTAAAGGCACCTTCTAAAGGTGTTTCCAGAAAGCTCAGAGATGCCCGTCAGTCACTTTGTGTCCCATGAAGCTGAGGAGTCAGAGAGAGAAGGGGAGTTATTTTTGTTGTTGTTGTTGTTGTTGTTACTGTTGTTTCTTTTCTTTTCTTTTCTGAGACAGGGTTTCTGCTGTCTTGGAACTCACTTTGTAGAGCAGGCTGACCCTAAACTCATAGATCAGCCTGCCTCTGCCTCCTGAGTGCTGGGATTAAAGGTGTGTGCCACCACTGCCCAGCTGGAAGGAGCATTTTAATGTGCTATTTACTCATGGTTTTGCTTTGTTTCTTCTATTAAATTTTTATTAAATATAATATATGATATATAATATACACATAATAAAAATATATAATGTGAAATACAAAAGTATATAATTACATATATACCACCATCTATATATATATGGTTATTTTGCCTGCATGCATGTTTGTGTAGCATGTATGTACTTGGTACCCTCAAAGTTCAGAAGAGGGTGTCAA